AGACAGGACCCATGCAAATCTAAAGAATTTTTGCTGCTCATATGATGTTTTCATGACGGTTATATTCCACTTGGGTCCCTCCCAAGGTGGTCAAGGCTGTGGTTGGTGCAAAGTTCAAGGCATTTTACTTCCGTGCATGGTGCCTTGCCTTTTAATATACTACAGAGGGATTTGGCTTTTTAAGTAAAAACCATAGGTAATCGTTCTCTTTAAAAAGAAAATAAATACTTCCAAAACTCTTTCTACTAAAGGAAGAGCTGCCAGGGCTGGCATATTTATTGGCCACCAGGAAGAGATGCCAATATGGTGAATAAGGCAAAAAGGTTGCAGGCAGAGCGGCCGTGGTGTTCACGCGGCTCCAGCTGAAATCTGTGCCTGCCATCTGGCAAAAATAAGCACAAAGGGAAAAAAAAAAAACCCAACCCCAAACCCCCTTTGCAGAGAGTTCATGCTGAACTGCTCAAGACGGCAGAGGTTAGAGTTTGTTCAATCGCTGAAAGATTGCTTCCCCTTCCCGGGTCAGCATCACCTCTTGACCTGCCCTGATTACCTTCCAAAGGAGGTTATCAAGATACAAGACTAACAGAGGATTAAAGGAAACTTAAAATAAAAACAAAACACCCCCCTCCTTTCCCCCCCACTCCGCTCCCCTCCCCCAAGAAAACATCCTTGCTTTGTTAACCTGACAGTTCGCTGTAGGTGTTGACACAACCCTCCATCTTTGAGAAGCTTAATGTCAACAAATCAGTGTGTTTGGAGTAGCCCTGTCAATGCGATTTACATTAACTTGTCTAACAAGAAATAAAAACAACAATCAGCCATCAAAGACAAAAGGCTTTTTCAGTCATTCTTTTAAAAGCTCTATGCTGGAAATGTTCATTTTTGAGGCCACGGCCCTTTACTTGCTGAAAACCAGAAACCACCTTTTTTTTTTTTTTTCCCCTAAAATACTGGTTTTTTTCCCCCAAGTATTTTTTTCTTCTTAAAAAAAAAAAAAGTATTTTCTTTTAAAGGAGGCCCGAGCATCCCATGTTAATGAGCTCCGCAGCAGCAGTAACCGACTCTCCCTGGTTAACGCAGGAAGAGGGCAGCCTTGAAGCCAAATGTTAATTATACTTTGATTTCCACCAGCGTGTTATTTGCTTTGAGACATTTGGGGCACTTAGCAGAGCATTTTCGAATTGCGGCTCTAAACCACCATGAAAATTTCATACAGCAGTGGTATGCACCAAAACCCCCTTAACTTCACCATGAACTTTTCCTCCCCGGCACACGCTGCACCCACCAGCATGCCCTTTGCAGCCGGAGGCTCGGCGTCCCGAAGCAAAGCTGGAAAAAGCAAATCGATTCCAGGGATTCCTAATATCAAGTGGTTTCCACCATCTGCCACAATGTCTACTCTGATGCTCTAAAGGAAAAATTAGGGATTGCAATTCCTGCTCGAACACTAGAAAAAGTGGAGACTCTTTATGCCATTCCACGAGCCAGGACTGGCTTTGGTCTGGGCTATTTTTCCTGCTTGAGTAGGGGGGTTGGACCAGAGGAGCTGCTTGCCCACAGCGGTGGTAGGTGCCCCATCCCTGGCAACATTCAAGGCCAGGTTGGATGGGACTGTGAGCAACCTGATCTGGTTGGAGATGTCCCTGCTCCCTGCAGGGGGGTTGGGCTAGGTGGCCTTTAAACGTCCCTTCCAACCCAAAGCATTTGATGATGCTATGACTTCCAGAGGTCCCTTCCAACCTCAACCCTTCCAGGATTCACCCCAAGAAATACAGGAAAAATTCAGCTTCACATATCCAAAAAAGAAAACACAAAACCTAATGCCCAAATCGTGGCTCGGAGTCGCCTTTTCGCTCACTCAGCATCTTTGCTCCTCTTCACCCCCTCTCTGAAATGTTGACTTGAGTCAACCGGACCCTTCAAGGCTATTTGATCTGCCTCGCGGCGAGCTGGAGCCTTGACCCCGGGAAGGCTTCCTGCAGATGAGCAGCCCTGTCCGAGACAATGGGATTACTCACACCCTTCAAGTTAAGGAGCCGCCTGCATTTTTGCAGGCTCAGGACTTTCGGCTCCGTTCTATTACAGGACAGTGCTTTTTGTTGGTGTAATTTTAGCACAGTAACTGCCGACATGCCCAGGCTGAGTTTCTTTGATCAGCAGGCAAAGTTTTTTTCTCGGTGTAATTACTGTTGTGACAAAAGGCAGGTGAGTAGCTCGGCTCCTGCCACGTAGTCATCTCCTGAGACTGCCACTCTTTTCTCCTAAAAAGCTGCTGCAAGTTCAAATACCAGGAAAGCGCTTCTCGCTTATTTTAAAACCATGTGAATTTGCTCGACATGAAGGTACCCGCTCTGGAAGACAGAGGCTTTTTCAAACCAGGAAAGGACGTGAGAATTGGAAGGGACGGTGTTGCATGGAGGCCACGTCTAGGGACAAAAAGATGCCCCACTCTCCAAGGATGGTACACAGTCACCTGCTTTTCTTCGTGAGCTACTGGCAGTGTAGAAATCCTGTATTTTATAGCTGGAACGGGCTGCAAACTCATTTCAAACCAGGGAGGAACTCCTCTTAGATCATAATGCTGCAGTGCTAATAATTGGGGCTGGGTTCAGATCAGCAGTATAGAAACAGCTCTACCTTGCCACATGCAATCCTGCAATATCCTCTTCTACTTAGAATTCACCCTCCTTGGAGATAGTTCCTTTCCCTCTTGAACCCCTCTCATTCTTGCCTTTCACAAATAAAACTCATCCCACATAACTGGTGCTTTCAGAAACATCCCCATCATTTTTCTGCATTGGTTTAGGCAGGTGTGGGCTTCTACACACCTGATCTCCTGTATTTCATTTAGCAAAGTGCAGAAATTTTAATGTGTTTCTAAATAAACCACTGGAAAAAGGCCCTTGAACCCTACAAGAACAAACCAGCAGAGACACCAAGAGAGCAGGGTGCCTTTTCAATGTACCCTGATTTTTTCCTGACTTGTTCTCACCCACCATTGCCTGCAGGATACGTGGGGACCCATCAGCAATGTCCAATGACGACATCTTCATAGCGCTCCTCTAAAGGAAGAAACTCCAATATATATAATAAAAAATCCCAGACCTATGTCGCCTACAAACCACTGAACCAGATCTACACCTTCGTAAATCAGATTGCAGCACCTGATTGAGCTGCCTGCCCTATCTCACAGCGCTATCAGGAGGACCAGTGCCATGCAATGCTTTGAAGATGAGGTGCTGCACGTGTGCTGGTTGAACAACACCAGCCCGTTAGCTGGCACCTCCACCAGGGCAAACTGCAGACAGCCGCCTTCTCAGCTGGGTCCTTTCTGATCCAGTTCTGGAAGAGAAAATGCTGCTTCCATCTGTCTCGGTCCTTTTTGGACCAATTATCTGCCCTGGCAGTCTCCAAAACAATTTTGACTCATTCAGGAAGGAAACATGTATATTTAAGGAAGCGAAATCACTCCAGGTCCACCTCAGAAAGCATTGTGGGCATCTCTCCCCATCCTCATCTCTCCTGCTAGCCATGCTTCATGCTCTGGTGCAGAGACCAATCTCCCTGCCAAATTCCAGAACTTGCCTGTGTAAGTACTCCCAGTATGGTTTCTGGAAGTGGTCTCCAGGTAATAACCCACCCCTGTTCAGCCACATCTCACATTCAAAGAGAAAGTCAGCAGTTGAGGAATCCAGCCATGTCCAAGCACCTCCAGACTCCAGAGGGCACCTGCCCCATGCCAGCTCACATGGCCACCTAAACAAGATGGGCAAAAGCCCTTCCGACCTCTCTGCACAGGAGGCAACACTTTATTTAAGTTTGTTCCAGTGATAACAGAGCCAAGAAAGCACCTTCTCCTCAACAGCACTCCCAGGTACAGAGAACTGGGAAAGCCACTTTCATTCCTCTTTTGGTGGCTTCTCCATCCACAGCAGATCAGTTCCCATTCCCATCTGGCTACCAAATCTTTGCTGTGATAGAGAAGGCCAAAGACACGAGCCATGGCAGAAGACTGCAAAGTTTTCGGGCTGTAACACCTCCTAAAACGGCTCTGGAGTGCTTGAGCATCCTTCCAGTAGAGCAATCACAGCAACATAAAGAAGCAGAATGGGGTTAAGGAAACCACCATCATGCACGATCCCTCTTTTCCTCCTGTTTATATCCGAGCTCGTCAGAGGCGCCCGGTGTGTGCTGGTGTACCACAATCCTGGGCACCCCCTAACAACAAATAAATAACAGTCCAGTAAAGAAGACAGATCTGAAATTGCTTTTAGGAGAAGTTCGGTGGACTTGTGATTTCAGAGTACCTGCTGACTGAAGATACTCCTAAGTATATATCCAGACAGCTCAGAACAAATCTTACTTAAAGGGAAAAAAAAGCTGTTTGAGCAAAAATGAAACTCCCTGATGATTATATTTTCCCTATTCAATGGGACACTACTCAGCCAACTGCAAAAAACAACATAAAAGATGGGTTTTGATCGCAATAACAGCATAAACACAGGCATATTTTAGACAGCAGAGAAAAGAAAGAAACATATGCTGCCTTCCAAGGCAGAGCAGTATTTGGATGTAAGGCATCCAGTGACTTGACAAACATTTGGAAATGTATCTGCAGTTGAAATAATAGACACTTTTATACTGGGATCTCTTGAAAAAAACCTTGAATGTCCATTAAGCTGAAAGTTAATCTATCTAAAGTATAGGTGGCTAGTGAATGATGATCCTACTTCTACATGGTGGACTGCGTTATTCCCTTCGATCACATATAAGAAGGCTTGCAAATGCTTGGGGAGACTCTGACTGAAGCCCAACTTCTGGTAACACATCAAACAGCTTGCTTTATAAATCAATTTGTTATTTCGTAACGCTTGACAGTACAAGGCCCCACTTCCATCACACTCCATAAAGCTCGAGCAACCATTAGTTCCAACAGCGCCATCGGATGCCCGTGCGCTCCCCGGACAGAAAAAGAAAGCAAATTGGTGGAGGCTGCTTACCGGGAGGTGGGTGAACACAGCAAAAGTGCTGCGTAGAAAGCCAATGAGATCGACAAGGTAGTCGCTGGCCTTGCTGCCTGGCTCCATGGCCATCCAGTCGTAGTCTGCCAGCTGCAAGAACTGGTCTATCTTCTGGTTCAGGTTAGTGTAAATCTCCTCCTCAGCAGCATGGCGGGCGTCCTGGGAAACAAGACAACGTTACACAGGATGGAGTCTCCATAGCACAAGTCTACACAAGTAACAAGATGTGAGATTGACCCAACCTTTAGCCCTAAAGGTGGTACAAGATAAAGCGCCTGTAGGCAACTACGTGGCTGCTACAGCCTCAGGTTAGCTCAGACTGGTGGGACACATGCCACCAGGTCAGTGGTGGGCAAGATCCAGCTGGTGTCTGCCTCTGATGCAACCTGGGGACCAGGAGGACAAATCTAGTGCAGGATGGAAGAGAGAGGATGGAAGAGGAATGTTCCATATGGAAAAAGGTTGAGACCCGCCAAACTGTGTGCAGGTATGGGGTGCAGGAAGGCCACAGAGGAGCCTCCCGGCCAGCATAAAGGTAGGAAAACTCACCCTTAGGCCAAATAGGTAGATGATGCCAGAAGGGACAACGAATGGACTTCCCTGGGGACGTGAGGCCTTAGTCTCCTGCTGAGTTATCCCAAGGGCAAACCTCACCTAACCAAGTCCCTAGCGTTGCTCAAGTCCCTGGTGCTGTTCCCATTGCCTGCTCTCCAGCCACAGGACACAACTCAGACATCCCACAGTTGACCCCGTTATGGCCTTAAGATTTCATATAAAGTATCTGGGTGGATGCTCCTGGGTTATGATTTAAAGATTTAAGGACTGGGAAGTCTAGCAGTTTCTGCCAGCCCTGATTTTTAGGGGATAATGCTAAAAGGAGTGGAAAGATACAGAAATACAAGTGCTGAAAATCTATTCTCCTCTTGGGTGAAAGAGGAGAGCTTGCGCTCATGGCCAGACGCGTGTAACACTGTACGGCGCTCAAACAGCAAAATGAAAATTCATTAAAAAAGGAAAAAAGAAAAAATCAGGCTTTTGTTTAAAAGCTGCTTAATCCTTCAGCTAAGTGCTGCAGTCACAGCCTGTAAATTAGGGCTACAGAGGCTCAGGATCTTGACAGAAGCAATGATCCGAAGGGCAAACCCAAAAGCTAGTTTGATGGTGTAAGCTTCCTGGGATATGACAAGATTCCCTTTCAGCTCAGCTGAGCTCCCTACATCCACACATCCACACGTGCCCCGGAAGCAGATACTCTCCAACCAAACATCACCAGCAGCTCCCCGGCGGTGGATCTACCAGCCTGCTCACCTTGAAGGTTGTGGTCCCATAGAGTTTCGTAGTGTGGACAGTTTCTGGAAGTACGTTAGTGATATTGGTTATGAATTCCTCTAGGAACTTGCAGGATTTCTCCAAATGGGTCGTATTTATAATAATCTGTACAAGCTGCAAAGGCAAAAAAAGGTATTGAAAGATGGTGCTGCTGAGGCCAGGACGTGCCAGGTTAATGGATGCCAATTTATAAGAACTTCTGACACGAAGAGCTGATGCTGTACAAACACGCTAAGCTTTGCTACACGCTCAAAGGCTCTGCTCCTTTAGCAACATCAGAAACTTAAATAAAAGATAATTTTGGGGGAAAAGCATTTCCCATGACAGCCACTAATACCACAAAAGATTATTTTTTTGTAATGACTTTCGTGCATTCAGCTGTCAGTCAGGGCTCATCTCGGCGCAGCTCAAACACAACAGGCTTACCAAAAAATGCCGTGTCAGATCACAAGTCTTCTGCCTGCCCATGAACCCTAAATAACCCACATCCTGAGTGACACCGAACAACACCGTCCTAAGGCATTTAACAAAGAAACCATGAGGTTTTACTGTTCTGAGGGTGGCGTGGCTGAATAGCCAATCTCACCCTGGTATCTCCTGGGTTATCATACCCACCATCAGCTGCAATCTTCTCGGCTGCCTTCACAGGGCACTATTTTGGGACATTAAAGGCAACTACAGAGTAAAAGCATTTGCTGAAGACAACCAACACGAACATTTACAATTCAGAGCAAACCAAGCCAGGCTTCCACTTTAGGATCACTGACTTGGAAGCACCATTAATTCCTTAAGCAGAGAGCTTTTTCCCAAGCAGGCTGCCACGAATATCTTCAAGGTGCAACGTAAGCTATAACAAAGCCTTTCCAAATAACGTCCAGCTCAGATACCATGTCAAAACAAGTTTTCTTATAGACACAGAAGGCATTACAATGCTCCGGATTGATATTATTTAATTGCTGGAGTCTGGTGTGGCAGTCTGCAGTTACCTCCTCTAAAGAAATTATTTTGAAACACTCGCAAATCCTCTGAATGAGGTGGATTAGTCACCACTCTGAGCGCTGCAGGAACAGAAATACTGAAGTAACACTGCAAAGATTACAGCACCCAACTCTTATTAGTGCCAGGTGACATGGGAAGAGGCAACAGTCACGGTTCGGGAGGTCCATCTTGGATATCAGGAAGGAAAAGAGTCCTTAGGAAGGTAGTGCAGAACGGGAACAGGGTGCCCAGAGAAGCTGTGGGACCTATGTTTTGAAGAAGTTAAAACTCAGGTAGAGAAAGCAATGGTTGACGTGATCCGAATGAGTAACAACCCCATGTCCACTGAGAGCTTGGGGTAGATTACCTCCAGAGGTCCCTTCCAGCCAACGCTTCTGTGATTTCAGCCAGGTTTTTGTTTTTAAGAAATCAAATTACAACCTGTTTGAACTCCTCTTGTTTGGCACTTGGCCCCTGAAATGTATTACACAGGTAACTCGGGAGGCTTCTCACTTCCGAATTCCTTGGGTTAATTCTGGTCTTGATTTTTGCCTTCAAACAAGCGCTCATTTGTTTGCCTTTCTGTGTCAGACAGCATCGTGATCGTGATATATTTTCCTGTAGTTTCAAGTGAATTCAGTATTAGGTATTTCCAACTGTGTGAAATTCCTCCTAAACCTCTTCTCTGATGGTCACAACTTACTGGTCCAGACCAGCTATCAAACTCAAAGGCCCTGACTGCTTTCTCTTCCACCCCTTGCTATGAGCTTTTCTGCTCCCTCTCTGGCTCCTTAAAGTTCTGATCTCTTGAATTTGGAGGGGTCAGACCTTCTCATTGGGGTAAGATCTTCTCATGGGGGTATTCAAATGAAAAAAATAGGAGTATCTTTTCCCTCTCTTTTATTAAATGATGTCAGAATTATTCAAAACACCAGGATTATTTGGAGCAGACTTGGTAGCAAACTTCAACATTCACTGCTCAGAGGTAGCCCCAAAAAAGAGCAATGAAAAAATAAAGAGGATAACAGGCCGGGAAGGTTGGTACAGAGCCTTGTATTACCTTGTCCACTGCTTGGAAAATGACATTGGAGAGCCCAGAAATGGACGGTGTTGCTTTGTGCAAAAATTCTGTCTGGGAAGTGACAGTTACGCGACGTACCTAAATATCTCGCATACCCAGGGCTCGGTACTTGGCCCAGTCTTGTTCAACTTGTTCATCGATGACCTGGACGAGGGGACGGAGTGTACCGTCAGCAAGTTCGCTGATGACAAGCTGACGATGAGCCAGCAATGTGCCCCTGTTGCCAAGAAGGCCAATGGCATCCTGGGGTGTATTAAGAGGAGTGTGGCCAGCAGGTCGAGGGAGGTTCTCCTCCCCCTCTACTCTGCCCTGGTGAGACCCCACCTGGAGCACTGGGTCCAGTTCTGGGCTCCCCAGTTCAAGAAAGATGAGGAACTCCTAGAGAGAGTCCAGAGGAGAGTTGATAAAGGGACTGGAGCATCTCCCCTATGAGGAAAGGCTGAGAGAGTTGGGCTTGTTCAGCCTGAAGAAGAGAAGACTGAGAGGGGACCTTATCAACACGTACAAATATCTTAAGGGCAGAAGTCACGAGGATGGAAGCAGTCTGTTTGCAGTGGTGTCCAGCGACAGGACTAGGGGCAACGGGTGCAAACTGAAACATAAGAGGTTTCAGTTGAATATGAGGAGAAGCTTCTTTACTCTAAGGGTGACAGAGCACTGGAACAGGCTGCCCAGGGAGGTTGTGGAGTCTCCTTCTCTGGAGATATTCAAAGCCCGCCTGGACGAAGTCCTGTGTAGAATGCTCTAGGAGAACCTGCTTTAGCAGGGGGGTTGGACTAGATGATCTCCCGAGGTCCCTTCCAACACTTGCGATTCTGTGATTCTGTGATCTTCTGCAATCCCTTCTGACACCAGGACTACACTCATACATGACCTGGGACTCTTCAATGTGCCCTTTAATTTCTGTGCTCCATGCAGTCACATCAATGTCTTTTCTCAAAAGGGAAGGATTTGAGAAACTCAGAAGAAAAACACTATGTGCTTCCATTGGGACAAACAGGTCGATGGTTACATAAAGAAAAGAGGCAGGAGGGGACAGAGATGCTCAAAGCAGTTCTTCTTAAACCAAATTAGAAAAAAAGATGGTAGAGAGAACCCCAGGAGAGAGCTAGTTGTACCTTGGTAAGCAGTAAGGAACAAGAAGGTGGAAATATGAGAAGAGATGAACACCAGCCTCGGGACATGCTCCCCCTTTATTTTAAACTTGTGCTACGTAGGCTTTCCTCGCAGTAGTCCTCTTCAGCTCCAAAGCATGAAGGAGCTACGCTCAGCCCAAAGAAAGGCATCACCTGCACTCAACGTGGAAGATGCCAAGGAACAGCTACGCAGCCTAAACCGGGCAAAAGCATCCAAGAGGACGGTCGCGCTCGGTTTGCCCTTCCTATGCTCAATCACACTGCGGGAACGTTTGTCGCAGCAGCAAAAATGATCATTGGGGGGATGGCTAGCACAGGGATGGTGTTGCATTCCTCTTTGCGGAGGGAGCCTTGGGAGGAGCAGGAGGGAAGAGGAATTTGCCTCCAGGGAGCAGAAAGATTCCAGACTTCAAGATAAAGGGCGGAGGAAGCATCATGTGTAAATACATACCGCTGTAAATGCACTAAACCCTCCCAAACTCACCGCCATGGGGTATTTACAGTGTCCAGAGGACACGACACGTTGCTATCGTACAGTCCATTAAACGACCGCAACTCTGTTAATACCCGCTCATTCACTAACAGCACCCAGAGGTCCCACTATGGTATCCAAACGGCCCCGGGTACCACACACGTTCCCAGCCATGATTTACATGCGTTAAACTTTTCAGAAATCTGACTTTGAGAACAAGAAAAGTCTCGATCCTCAAAAGAAAATGCCAATATAGAGTTTATACTGGAACGGCGTGCTGAAACCGCCTCCAACATCGCCTATAGATGGGGATCACTCCCCCACTCTCTCCTAGCTCTCACGTGCCTCTTCTCCAGTGCTCCTTGAAGTCCGCGTACCCGCCACATTAATTCAGATATACAATGCTCTGCAAACTCAAAAGAGGGGCGATTCTAACAGCAACAGCAAGAAAAGCTTCCTTTCTTGCAGCATTAAGTGGGTTTTTTTCTTTGTACAGCAATGCTGTGTGGCTCCATGACTGTTTTCCAACCTCATATTTTATAAGAATGCTCCAAACCAGCATCTCTAAAGGTGCTGTAAGGGACCAGGCCCCTTTCTGTCACCCTGCCCTAGAAATGGCTCTCCTCGAAGCCACATCCTACCTCCGTCAGCCCGACGTTTTTCCTCTTGATGACATTCTGTAAACAGTTGCTCAGCGTTCGGGTCAGCAGCAGATTTGTAGATTTTCTAATCATATCATCAACTTCGGTGGAGCTGAAAAGCAAATTTTAAAGAGAGACTTGCAAAACACTCTACGAAAAGAAAATCACCAGGAGCCCTCATAGAATCATAGAATGGTTTGGGTGGGAAGGGACCCCCAGAGGTCACCCAGCCCAACCCCCCTGCAGGACCAGGGACACCTTGAACCACATCAGGTTGCTCACAGCCCTGGCCAACCTGGCCTGGAATGGTCCCAGGGATGGGGCCTCCACCCCCTCTCGGGGCAACCCCTGCCAGGGTTTCACCCCTCCTAAAACGCTGGCCCCCCCCCTTTCCTCTGGGCCCCCTTGAAGCCCTGACCGGCCGCACTCAGCTCTGCCCGCAGCCTTCTCTTCTCCAGGCTGAACACCCCCAACTCTCCCAGCCTGGCCCCAGAGCAGAGGGGCTCCAGCCCTTGGATCATTTTAGTAGCCCTCATCCCCTGGTCTCCTTCCCAACCCTCCGCTGCCTTATCCATGAGCATCCATGCAGCACTTACAGGCGCTGACATACTAATACATACCAACCCCCCAACAGCTTAGGCCTTTTTGTGCATGTGTCTATCAGGAAGGGGGACTAACGCATGCCCAACCTACACCCCTGAGCCTCTCCTCTCAGAGGGGCTGGTCCAGCACGGGTAGGAGCTGCCCAAGCATCAGCCCTAACCCATGCAGCCACAGCCCCGCACACAACGCCGGGGTCGTGCACGTTCAGTGCGCAAGGGGAGAGGGAGCAAAGCCCAGCAATGGGAGGGGGAAAAACCAAATCAACCCCCCAAAATGTCCTCCACCCCCCAGTCTTCTCATGGTTTTTCTTAGCTAACTCAAACTGGAAGCTCTTGCAACACGTTCGTGCCCTTTGCCAGATGGTTGCAACCGCAGCATCGCTGAAGGCTGGGGCTTTGGCTTTCCGCAGACCAGCGAGGTGCAACCTCCCCTTTCTGAAGGAGGTTTTGGAAACCCACCCCAACACAGGCTCCTTTGATCTGTCGTTGGCCCTGCATTAGCACCACGGGGCTTTATCTCTGGCAGCGCAGTGACAAGCAGCTGAGGGCAAAGAAAATTCTCAACGGGAAGGCGGAGAGGCATTAATAACTTGAAGGCTCCTGGTAAATCAAGCCCGTGACCTTTTGCTCCTTCTCCTGTTTTACCTGACAAACAGGCCAGATTACAAAGCAGGGTTGGATGCAAGAAGCAAAAGTAAACCCTGCAGGTACCCCACCGCCGGCATGTGAGGTGGGGTAACTTGGGGTGCTGCTACTGGGGTGCCCGCTGCTGCTGGGACGGGGGCTGCCAGCCCTTCTCCAGCTCACATCTCCAAATTTCTGTGCCTTTTTAACATTAGAGCAGATGCACTGAGCCAAACCCTGGTCCACCACCGCCGTCAGCTTGGGAAAGCAAGACTTGGTCTTCTCCAACAGCAATCCATGGTCACAGCAGCATCCCCTGAACATGCCCATCCTCCCCAAGCACCAGGTATCCTTCAGTCAACCAAATTTTTCACGTCATTCAGGACCTTCCCTGTGCCGCTGCATGAGAATTGCATTTAAATCCCCCAAATTCCCATGAGATGACACAAATATTGCACTTCTGAGCAAAGGCATGCTCATATTTCCGTGAGACCGAGGAAGCCGTGTCTTGCTGCAGCTTTCCCAAGGAAAAGCCCAGCTGCACAACTCCCCGCAGGCCCAGCGGCTGCTCACCACGCCGCGCTCCCCAACAGGTCTCTCTAATATTTCCTTCCCCCTGATGTTTAGAAGTCTGCTTTTCTGAGCTACATGCCTGCCAAGGGTTGACCACTGTCTCCTTCCCAGTTGGACGCAAGCGGAGCAGGGCCAGCAGCTTGGCAGGACCCAGCTCCTGATAATTTAAATTCAATGTCATCCACCAAAGCCTTAGCGTGGGTCTCTCCTAGATCAATGCCGCTGATCCCTGTGAGTTTGTTTTCCCCCTGCTTAGTGGGGAAGCACATCCCCTGCCAGCGATGGTCAGGGCCAGCCCGCTCCACGTCCCAGATGGACCCCTGGGCTCCTTCTCACAGGGGTTTGATGTGCAGTCCAAGGTGATGTGCATTTGGGTTTTTAAAAGTGCGGAACAGAAACCAAAATGTGGGAGGAGAAGAAACCAGCCCATGAATTTTCCTGGTCTTTACACTATAGGTAGGGCTCTCAAATAAGGTTTTTCTTAAAGATAAAAAAAAAAACAAACCCCAAACCAAACCCACCACACAGGCATGCGCACACACCCCAGGCCCTCCATCGTCCCCCAGGAAGAACCAGATTGTCCCCAGTCCCCTCCACCAGACAATAGCACTGTTAAATATAGCAAGCACCATAAAATCTAACCCTGTGACGATCTACAGATGGTAAAAAGGAGATTGCAAGCAAAGGGATGGTACAAAGGAACCCCATGACACCGGGGGCAGCTGCCCGCTGCTGCCAGAGCGGCGCGGGAACCGGAGAAAGCGGCTGGGGAGCCAAAAGGGCTGGACCCACACTCAGAGAGGGTGAAGAAAAAAATGTGTAGGAAGCAAAAATATGCAAAGCTGTGCCTCTGTACAAGCACTCTGGCCCTTTCGGGATTTTCCCTGGGAAACCCCAAAATGCCCATCCCTAGGGATGGTAGAGGTGCAGAACGGCTGAGGCTGGAAGAGGAGCTGGTGGCTGGGGCTGGGGCTTCCAGCATCAACTGGAACTGCGAAAGCGTGGATGAAAACCAAGGGCTTTTGGACATGATGTCAGCTTTTCTCACTAAACCAACACTGCAATCACATAGGTCGTGCTGGAAAAGCTTGCTTTTTTTAAATTCGAATGTCAACCTGTCAACAGGGCGTCGAAATTAAGCAAGCCAGTTACCGTCTGGCTGCGTGGACGCCCCGGGACAGTCATGCTCTTGGCAGGAGCGGGATGCTGCTGGCCTCTGCTCGACACAGCAGCCAGGGCTGATGGCACAAGGTTGCTGTATCACCCAAGGCTTCTGCAAATTGAGGGTTTGCTTTAATCGCTCCATTCAGCTGCAGGAACATCTCAACCATGATAGCCTCTGGGGCACAAACAAGTCGTGCTTAATGATATTGCTTGGCACTTCCAGGCTGCTTTTACTTCTTCAGAGCACTTCTAACCAAGCTTTCTCTGCGTACAGGCACCATTTCCAAAGGTTTCTTATTCTCATTTTGTTTGTTGGCTGCATAAGCTAGAAAATCAGGTTGTAACTTTAGTTACGTGGTGGGTCCAGCAGCCTGCTGACCCCCGCGGTTGGGTTCCACCAGAGCAGGAGGATCTGCGACATCTCCCATGAGATCCACATGCTGAGTAAGGAATAAAAATTGAAGCATTCCTTGGGAAAAAAGAAGAGCAGGATTTGTCCAGGCGCTGGACTGCGATCCCCCAACTCTTCCTTTGTTCACAGGAGAGGTAAGTGAGGGTGACAAAAAGAGCGATGGGTGTTAGCCGTTGCCTTGCCCTGCACCCTCCCAGCTGAAACAATGAACCAAGCAGTAGCTCACACCAACAGCCCAGACCCAGTGCCCGGACCAGCAGGGCCAGTTAGCAACGAGTAATGGTACCAGTCAGTTGTATGATGCCAACTCTTGACTGTGAAGCAGAGATTGGGTCTTGGCTCAACAGAAAGGTTGGATCTCAGTTCTCAATATGCAAGAAGAAAACAAACCCCCCCAAATGAACGATATTTTTTGTGTGGGCTGCTTATTATGTAGGTCTGAAGTCAGTTTGATCTACCAGCTTCGTCACCAGGCTTGGTCTACAGTCCCAGACCAGGGGTAACACAGAAGCAATAACATGAGCTATCAGAGAAACCACATTTACCTCCTCTCTCCTCAAGTGGGCTTCTAAAGGTCCAACCTGATTGAGTTATTCAAGCCTCTGGTTTTTGATTTTCTTTTTAATAAGTTTATGCACTTCAATTCTTTTCAGGACATTAAAAATTGTATCCCAAGTGCTTTCAGGATTGGTGCTTTGTTTGAAAAAACCCCAAACCAAACAACCAAAGCCCTGGTAGATTAGAGCTGACATCTCATCCTCCCACCCACTGTTTTCCAAAGATACTCCCTATCTTTAAAATGGGAAATTCCACTGGAAGCAGCGGAAGCCTTCCAACAAGTGGACACTTTTAAAGACATCTCCTCGATGAGCTCAAATAAATGCGTTTTAACAAAGGCAGAACTGCTGAAAACAGAAAGGACGTTTTCTTTCTCCTAATCAAATGAATGGAGCCAAATGAAAAAAATCTGCAACCCCCATAAATGCAGAGTAAGCTCCAAATTTTCTTCAGATAATTGAAAAGCAAAATAACTTTCCCAAGCGTATCAACATAAAGCAGAACGCTCCCATCCAACAAATACAAGGAGCTAGTTTAAAAAAATAATTAGAAAAAATACACGCTACGTTTTCTGCCATAGGCTCTGTTCTTCAGGAAAAGACCGCCGAGTATTTAAGCGAACTGTCTGGGTTAATGACAGCTGATGTCCCGTATCCCATAGCAGTAGTCATGACCTTCAGGCCTCCCGTGACTGACGGGCTGACCCCAATCACTCCAGGGTGCAAGGTAAATGACAACCAAAGAAGAAAAAGAAAGAGAAGAGAAAGAAAACTTGCTGCCGGCTTTGTAGCCAAGCTTCCTAATAAAACCTAATTCAAGCTGTCAGGGTGAAATGAAGAAAGTGTCAACAGGGGTTTTCAGAGAAATATTCCAAATGTTTGGCTAGAAAAGCCAAGAGCTCGGCTCCCTTCCCCCAGCCCAACACCGCTCCTCAAAAAGGGCTGGAAAATCCAATGTCGAAAGGAATTTTAATAACGTGTCCAGGGGGACCCCTGAGGAGGGACCCAAGGGGACACTTTTCTTCCCTTCCCTGACAAACCCAATCATCTCCGTAATGGTGAAGAGCACAAAACTCGCAAGGGAAGTGCCAGCGGTGGGGTTCGGTGAAACCAGCATCCGTGTGAAATTGGACCATTCTGCCGGCTTTAGAAACCGAGATGTTTAATGGTGACCCGCAGGTTAAGAGCCTTGGGAGCCACCAAAGAGAACAACCTGCCACCAGTGAAAGGTTGAGATTAAACATGGGGTGAGAAACATCCTGTGCTTCCACATCAACCAACGAGCTACCACGTCCTCTAGCAGAAGACGGAGAGAAAGTGCCTCTCCAAATGACTATCCCTTGTATGGAGGAAAAGAATTAAGACTCTGAAGAGCCTGGCGTAGGCACTGAAACATCTGGCGAGTCCCCAAAACACTGCCCTAGCCTCACATCAGCACTGGGGCAATGTCCAGTGTCAGGCCATGGCCAGGACATGAAGCTGTCAAGGGAGGTGAACACCACCCCCCGCAGTCCAACCTCCTGCAGATGGTCAGAGGGGAAGAAGGATCCCTCCCCTTCAAGTAAAAATCTTGTTATTCGTTTATACACCTCTACCGAGCTGAAGACATTACTGGGTGCAAAAAGAAAGCACCAACTTGCAGTTTCTGGCTCATACAGGTTTTTTCCAATCTCACACACATAGACATGGAAGAAACCAGCAACAAGGCACCTTGGGATGGAGAAGGAAGGGCAAACACATGGACTATCTTAGAGGCTTAAAAAAACCCCAAATAAATCAGATAAATCACTCCTGGAGGGACAGTCCGGGGAGGCCATGTGGAGGTTGTAGATGTTATACCAGGCACTGGTCCGATGACAAGTGGACATCGCTATCTTTCTGGAGACAACCAGATTCATCTCTTTAGTACGACTGACTCAGAACCACCTCAGAGGGAAGGGGCCCCTCGTGTTTTATACAGCTAGCACGGTTCTGGGCTATCTATCCCTACATGAGGCAACTATTTTTGAAGACTTGGCCAGCACTTTGTACATGAAGGGTGCTACTGCTCCGAGGAGCCCACCACCCACCTCCAGCCTGGATGGGGGATATCCAAGCAGTTGAGCAGCATGAAAGGTTGAGGAAGAGAATTCATATTTCCCTTTAAGAGAATCCCTTTGAGATCTTTCAGCGCAGACAAAACCTCTATATTACGTCTATTAGCATGCTCATCCCCTACCTCAGATGAAGGTCTTCCGAAAACTTCAGACAGGCATAGATGAATTCCTTAATCTGATTGTAAACTTTAGGCACAAACTCAGAAAAGGGGAACTTCTTTGGAAACGGTTGCTGTAAAATACAGGAGAGAACTCAAGTCAAAGAGCAGATATTTAACAGGAGTGACAGCCGCTTTCCAGCAACATGTTCCAAGCAGTCAAATTAATTCTAGTATTTAGCTAAGCCCAGCAATGCAACAACAAGCCAGCATTTATTGTACATTATATAAACATTTCAGCCAAGTGAAAGACCAGATAATCACTTACAAATGGCACACGGGTGGATAAGGGATTTGGAGTTTTAAAGGGGCTGGAAGGAAACTTGCAGCTAGGAGGGAGCAGGCAGCACAACACGATCCTCATTCCCTCTCCCAACTCCCTAACTCCTATGAAAAAACCATGCTGGAGAACTTCTTGACTTTCATCTCCCACCATGCACAAGGTGTTTTGCTCAGTCACCCCCCACAGTTGCTGCCCAAGGTGAGCGCTTGCTTACAACACCAAAGGCCAAGAGGAAACAGATGTCCTCTACCAAATTTCTCCAACCAGCTTTTACCCATAGCACACACAGGGCTGGGAGGTGCCGAGTGTAAGAGTAAGAACCTGAACCCCATGAGATAGTTTTGGGGAAGGACGCAGACCTTCTGAAATCTAAACACTTGACTTGGCTCAAAACCCCTCCCAGTCCTAATTAAGTTCACCAGGCTTGGAGCTCTCAGGCTGCCAGATGTGGAGCAGAAGGCCAAGCAGGCTTTTAAGGACCACCGGGAGGTCAAATTTGGCTACACTTAGGTTTTGCAAGCACACGCTTCTACACAAAGCCAAGATATACCACTTCGTTGGGTGCTTATTTTTTTTAAATGTGGGATTAAACCAAAAAAAAGTCAATAACATGATTCATAAATCAGGACTAGGATAGCAATGGAAGCAGATATTTCTAGTCTCTCGTCTCCTGCAAGCACTGTTCAGCTGCGATAGAAAACAAACCCGATGAGGTATTGCTCTACACGCTTTCCTCATCCACACCAGGAGAAAGGCATCGCACGGGAGGTATAACAGTTCTTTTCCCTTGTTTTGGTTTTTTGTTGTTGTTGTTGTAGTTGATTTGGTTTGGCGGTTGGTTTTGGGGGTTTTTTTGGACGCTTTCCTTCGCAGTTCTCATTGCCACTAACAAGGGTGCGGGGGTTTCCTGCGCCAGCAGCCCCGCCGTGTTGCCTTCCCCATTTCAAGATCAAGATTACCTTTTCAAGTTCTGCATCCTGGAACGGGAACTGTCCAACTATTTTCTTATAAACCTCTTCATTTGTCACTGGGATGGGACTGTAGTTATCTGAATCAAGTATATTCCTATGAAAAGCAAAGAAAAGTTAGAAAGGCAGCTCTGTGAGGACAGACCAACCACCAACTTTGCAGATTTACTGCTCAGCTGGGAAGCTCTTAAGAAGTAGGCGCCAAAGATATTATCCCATGGGCCTAAACTTCTTCCCCTGTTTGTGACTGTTGAAATCATCTTTCCTGCAGCCGGACGCAAGGATCTCTCCCAGCTTCCAGCCTTCATTGCGCATAGAGCCGTGACCAGAGTTGAGCAGTGCTTTTAGTCCAGACTGGAGCTTCAGCAGCAGGCCCTGGTAAAGCCCAAGAGAGCTTCAGTCCTGCCTGACTTGAGGAAGATGGAGGCTGAGCTACCAGGGCATTGGCAATCCTGCAGCACCTCTTCCCAACGCCCCATAATCTGAGACACCTCAATCCTCCCAGGATGTCCTGGAGGACAATCACAGGATGAGCCAGTGGCTCCCAAGCGCAGCATGGGACCCTGGATAACATATCGTGCCCTACCTGCGGGCAACTGCTGAGCTCACAGACGTGCCTACGCCACCGACGTCCCAAGGCACACATGGCTCAGTGCTGGAGCGAGGGCACGGTTACGCGACTGCAACACCAGAGTTTTGCGTCCTTCCATCTATCAACTGTCAAAGCGAGCTCCATAATGAACCCATAACCTCACCCCTCTGGGATGTAAAACCTCTGGTCTACACCGATTTATTGCACAGATCTCACCACACACAGGACCCTCGCAACTGTATTTGAATTGGCTCTCCCTGGTCCAAGGAGAGCCCAGGCTGAAGCTTACTGATGCCCAAAATTTAAACGTGAGCTTGCTACTAATCTTTCAAAAGATTTTATTTACGGACCAAAGCTACACTGTAAGGTACATCTTGTAAGTTTGCTTAAAGAGCTTCTTACCTGAAAACTCCTGACCATTTCTTCAGCAGGGTTTCACTGTACTGGTCTTGGATCTCCAACAGCATGTCAAAGAGCTGGTTCACCGGGAAGCCATATCCCTGCAGTGGGATGGGGAAGAGAGCAACTTCAGATAAGAAAAACTCACCAACAGGCAGCTGAAGATTATTTTCTCTATCTAATAGGGAGCACATGGGCAAATTCTCCCCTACCACCACCACAGAAGTGAATGGTGCTGGTGGAGGGATTTAGACGGTGATTTACCGAGGTGGCAGGACCAGGGGCTATTAAAGGCTGGGCTGGGTGCGGGCAGGAGGCACAAGGGCTTGGCGAGGTGGCCAAGGCTCGGTCCTTGCCCACGGGCTGGCCACCCCACACGCAGAGCAAACCAGGCTGTCCATCAAGTGCCACAATGCACGCACCGCAATGCCAAAAAAGAAGCTGGGCCACCACAGCAAGTCCACGTCAGCCATTTAACCCTGCTGACGGCCCACCTGGGAGCAGCGCAACCGTTGAGCGAGACAAAGAGCCAAGTCTAACACCAGGCTGGGGTCCGAGCAGTAGGACTGCAAAGAAGGGAGAAATTAAAACATGGTTTTAACTGCAGCACGCAGGAAAAATATTGCCCTCAGCCCTCCGACGTTATCGCTGGCGTGATAATAAACACATAGGCATGCCGTACAGTCTTACGATCAGCAGCTTTTATCCTACAGCCCGTGCCCTAACGTTGTACAGGGCAGGGGAAGGCATGCTGATAAGGGTATCTCTCCTGGTAATGCGCTGCTCTTGAGGCTCTCCATGATGAATAAGGGTTTGGGTTGCTCTAGAGATACCTGAAGTGTCTCTAAGATTACCCAGGAGCTGCTGGGGAAGCGAGAGGAGACGAAGCAAATCAGTGCGCTGTCATACCAAGACGACAGCAGCGCCTCTCATTTAATATTTAGTGTGTTGTGTCTGACGGTAATGAAGCATCGCGGCGAGGCAGCCCCGAGCCCCGTGTGAAAGCTGCATTGCAAAGTGGTTCAGGCTGAGAAAAAACACGGTGCATGTCTATATTTCAGCAACATTAATGGTCAGAGCTACAAAACAAGTATTTATCGCGGGTCAGGACACTTGCCTGAAACCCTAAAGACACAACTCAGCCCAGCGACAGCGCTGATCTTGCCCCCAGAGCCGCCCCATGTTGCCCACAGGCTTCGTGGGCTCTCTGGACGCAGCAGACACCCTCCCTACGCTGAAATATGTAAAGTTTCAGATAGCCTCTTACCAAATATAGAATCAGCGATCATAAGCTGGAAAGAGAAACGGATTTAAAGCTCACTGGAAACTCAAGGAGGAATGACTCCATTAATCAATGTGAAAGACTGGAAGAGACACATTTTCCATTTCTCTGTCCAAAAAAGAAAGTCAGAAAGAAAGACAATGCCCTAAAGCTATCAGAAGCAATAAAAGAGGTCCCCGTCTGCAGCAAGGAAGAAAATCCAGGCCTAAGTTTGGCTGAATGGGAAGAACCGAAAGAGCCTCACCGACATGAGAGCCCTCCATCAAGTCTCAACGGCAATATGGGATGGACCGGCACCGGTCTACAGGGGAGCTGTAGGCTGAGCAGTGCTTAGAGCTGACAGTGATGACCACAGTAATAGTGTTGAGAAATCATGTTAACATTTCACAATTAATCAGAAAAACCCAAACCCCAGCTCGCCTGGCAGCTACTTCAAGTCTGGCATCACTTAAAACAACTTGTCATGGCAACAAAGCTGGGAAAATTGAAAAACACCGTGTTTGTACCTGGCTTAGCCTCACGGCTTTCACCTAGCCGAAAACCCCACTTAAAAAGAAAATAAACACAGTTTACAACCTAGCGGGGTGTACAAGGTTTATCCCCTTTCCTAACACAGAAGCTTACGTGGAAGGAGGCAGCTTTCCAGCCGACACAACTGCCGAGCCAGAGCCCCCTGGAGGGCTCTGTGGTCCCTCACCCCAAGGAGCTCCAGGTCCATCCCCTGGCTTATCCCCACCCGCACAGGTAAAGCCAAGCAGCTCTTCTGCAACGCGACCCGTGGGCGACCACGCTAAGGCAAGGTCAGGGGCAGGTAAATGCAGGACTCGGTGTGGGTCGGAGGAAGCAGCGTATTGCGTCTCCATGCTGGAATGTTGGGGTTTTCTCAGCAAAGAGCAAGGCCATCGTTATCCCTTGGGTACCACCACGTGGGTGTGACGCCACGGTAGATGCAGGCCTGCACCGACGTGACCCAGCAGCATCCTCGTGCTCTCAGACGGCGCTGCTATCTCCGAGCAGCGCTGGGATTTCAGTCACTTAATGCTTTGTTTTCCCTGGAGAAAATGGCCTAACAACGTGAAAACGGACTTGGGGAAAGCCATTAATGCTTTCCCTTTTATGGTCAAATCCCATTTTTTCATCCCGTTAACCAACAGGGTTTTCAGAAAACTCCAGCGCTCCCAGCTGAACAACTACAACATTATGTCAGGTCATGCAAAACTCTCTCTGTTTTGCAATTGGCTTTGTTTTTAGCTCAAGCAGAGAAATACCGAAGCGGTAAGCAACTTTTCCAAACTTCTTCCAGTATTACAGAATACGTTTAGTGTCTTTTTTATGCACAGACACCTTGCAGTTTGATAGCAGCCCATTCACTGCCATGAATTTAAGGGGATATCAAATAGGGTCAGACTTCAGCATGCCAAATAGATGCTTTTTTTCCCAGTTTTCTGGGACAAACCAACTCCCTCTGCTGGTCCTTTTCAAAAGTGATCAGCAAAGTAACGGGGAAAAATATCAAACCACTGTGTTCTTCTTTCCAGTCCCCCAAACTATTGAGTTTGGTACAGGGAACTGCAGAGCATCAAGAGGCAAAACAAGCTGGAGAAAGCTTTTGGGGCAATAGCAGTGAATCTTCATGTCATGTTTTTAAACAGGGTCATTGGAAAAGAGGCAAAACAAAGACTACTACTGTCAAAGCCACTACTTCCAGCATGTCAAGTCATACCCAAGCAACAGTTGAGCCACCAGGGGCTTTTACTTACTGAATGCGTTCTTAGTGCTGCGATAGTTTTTGATAACGCCATCTCCCACAGCTCATCAATATAGGCTCTATTCACCAAGCCCTGCGTTGTATGCAAGATGTGATCTTCAACCACGAAAAACCTAACAGAGGGGAGAAAAGGCGACTGTTATCCAAAGTTAGGGGGGTCAGGATGTCAAGAGAGATCTGCAAACACCGCATGTGAGGGATACGTGGCATTGGCACATCCATGAATCTCCAGGGCAAGCTCAGATTTGCATCCTGAAGAAGAGAAGACTGAGAGGGGATCTCATCAACACCTACAAATATCTCAAGGGTGGGGGTCACCAGGATGGAGCCAGACTCTTCTCAGTGGTGCCCAGCGCCAGGACAAGGGGCCATGGGCACAAACTGAAGCACAAGAGGTTCCAGTTGAACGGGAGGAAGAACTTGTTGACTGTGAGGGTGCCCGAGCCCTGGCCCAGGCTGCCCAGGGGGGCTGTGGAGTCTCCTTCTCTGGAGATCTTCAACCCCCGCCTGGCCGCTGTCCTGTGCCCCCTGCTCTGGGTGAGCCTGCTTGGGCAGGGGGGTGGCACTGGGTGAGCTCTGGGGGGCCCTGCCAACCCTTGCCATGCTGGGATTCTCTGTGACCTGTGTCAAATATAGCAACTGCTAAACACTTTATTCACCTGTTTTTAACATCGTTGTATTTTAGACGATGTTTCACTGCATTACGGAACTGAGCTAAACCACGGTCGCTCTTAGAAATGCCACTCTGTGTATTCACAAAGGCAGAATTTCCCCTCCCTAAGTTCTCCACCCCGTTATTTCAACAGGAACCACTGATTAAACTCTGCTCCAGCCAGCAGCAATCGCATTACAATTGGTTAACTGCGGGGAAAAAGACTTTAACTGCAGGAAAAAGTACTTTAACTGCAGGGAAAAAGACTTTAACTGCAGGGAAAATACTCCCTCGCACCTGGATCCACCGCACGCTCCCAACCATTTAAAGGTAATCAGTTCACTCCAATCTCCAGTTATCAAACGTGCTGGCCAAAAAGAAACCGTATTTTTCAGGGAGCGAGCGCGGCACCGTACATTTTCCGCAGCAACGTGCAACCTCTCAGCTGTGTTTTGCCAGGGAAGTTCAGCCCAGGAGCACGGCGCGGCAGGAGAAGGTGAGCAGCACACATTGCACTTGCGATGGGCACAATTAGATGGCAAAATTATTGTCGTTAGCTGAAGAAATTGCGACATCGTGCCCTATCTTTGTTAGATTAGCGGTCTTAGGTTGCCTCCTCTCAGAGCTCGGCTGGTTTGGGAGGACTTCTGGTCAAATTTGAGTGGAATAATAAGGAGTTCATAAGAATAGAGGCTTGAGAATCACCCCCTTTCGCAGGAAAATAATCAAAGAATAATTATCAAATATTAAAGAATAATTAAGGCAGAGGGCCTATTCCTCTCATTAGCTGGGCAAGTAGATGCACATAGTCCTCTGAAATTATTTATCCTCAAATTCCCAGAAGCGCGTTTCCTGGCCCAAGAGCTGGCCGGCTCCTCCACGCTCCCACTGGTGACACAGCAAAGTTCCTGGGTGCTCTAAAACACTTTAAAAGCCCAAGCCACCTTTTTTTTTTTTCCTGTTTTGACTCCTTTTAAAGGACTCTCAAGAAGATCAACATTCCCTCCTCTCCTTCTCCCTTTTTTGGGCTCCTCACCACCACCACGCACACATATTTAGCGAAGACGTATATAAAAAGAATACCTACCCTACAATTTGATTAAAATACTTCCTGTAGCCGTCTAAAGTTTCGTGCTGTGACAAAGAAAAAGTGAGCAAAGATTAAAACAAAGGTGACCAAGGGCAACTGGAAATGAATTTGAGACACCCCCCCACCAGCAAGAAGGTGCCCAGAGAGAACCCTCCGCTCCCTTTACTCGGCAGAGGAAGGTTGGGCACCGCGAGCAGGAGGGACCATCATACCATGTTCGAAGGTGGCTGCAGGACCAATCTGGCTTGTTTTCTTCTCTGCTTCCTGTAGTAGTTCTCAAAGGTTTCTCGGGCACCCTGGAAAACAAAAAGAGATTCATTCAAGCAATCGGACCGGTTTGCATTAACCGTTAACTTGCGATGTATCGCATTTCCCGCCAACGTGCCATCTACTGCAGTTAAGATGCAAACCTCATGCCTCCAGCATATCTGTGCAACGCTCCCCTGCAAAATTCATTCCAAATATCAGATGACAGCGAGTTTTACTCTAAACACCAAGTCAAAAAATCAGCTGTTCAGATGTAAAAGTATCCGATGAACTCTTCTCTTCTCCTGGGGGGGTTCAGCCTGGAGCAGAGGAGGCTGAGGGGAGCCCTCATCGCTCCCTACAACTGCCTGAGAGGAGGGGGGAGCCGGGGGGGTCGGGCTCTGCTCCCAGGGAAGGGGCGATGGGACGAGGGGCACCGGCCTCAAGTTGTGCCAGGGCAGGGTGAGGTTGGCCATGGGGAACAATTCCTTCCCCTTGGGGCTGTCAGGGGCTGGAAGGGGCTGCCCAGGGAAGGGGTCGAGTCCCCAGCCCTGGGGGGATTTAACAGCCGGGCAGAGGCGGTGCTGAGGGCCAGGGTTTGGGGGTGGGATGGCAGGGGTAGGGGAAGGGTTGGGCTGGGGGAGCTTAAAGGGCTTTGCCAACCTAAAAATTCCATGACTATGATTCTGTACCCATTTTCCAGCATCACCATGCAGATGTGGCACATGGAAGCGTGCAACCAGCTGCTTTACCGGACCATAACATGGACAAACATCAGATTTCCTTAACCGTGGGGATAGGGGAACAACCAATTTCTAGTGTTAGCAAAAAGAAAGAGGGGGCAAACAAGGCCAGAAATTCTTCCACTGATTCATGGGTGCAGAGTGATGCAAAGCCACAAATATCACGGAATTTAAGGAAAACGTGCTTGTGTGGGCTACAGCAATTTATGACACCGGTCTGTATAGTTTGGAGAAATAAAATAGGGTTTTGAGCTCATTCTTTCCCGACTTTCCTGTGGGCCTGAGCCTCCAGAGGAGAGCTGGTTAGTCCTGAAAGCCGAACACCCAAGCTCCCCTCCATGGGCATCGCCCACCCACGCCGGGCTGCGGCGGGGACCCGACCCGCTCCTCTGGGGGCTTCTTCTGTAGGTGGCTTGTTTTACCCAGCCAGGCTACATCTGAGCATCCCCACCCAGGCAACAAACCCGTGAGGATCCTCAAATGCCACCGACCTGCTGAAGCGTTCAGACATCCGCCTACCGCCCCGGTCCCCTAGGCTATGTAAAACCTTGCCGTTTTATCCCTGTCTGTTCCTCCCTCCTCCACGCCCGCGCTGTTTTATGTCTGAAATTGGATTATAAACACTTCAGAGAAGGGACAAGGTCTTGCTTTGAACTGTTCCGAGCTTCCCCCCCCCCCCCCCAAAAAAAAAAATGTCATTTGGCATTCACAAAACAAACAACGCGCAACAACAAATCTCACCTGAGCCAGGCACCAGCCGTCAACCTTCTCTACTCCAAAAAATAAATAAATTAAAAGAAAAACCTGATGCTAATTTAATGATTCTCCAGCTACTATGGCATTATACAACCAGGCTGCCTTAGGATGCCCTCGCCGAAAGCGGTCTTACGAAATGTCTGCAGTGAACCCCTAAGGAGCTGTAGCCCGACTTGCTCCTCGTCTTCTAGAAGCTGGAGCTCAAGGCTCAAGCAAAAATTCAGTCTTAGTGATGTGCCCAGGAGCATTGCACCCGGTACTGCCCTTCCCAACAGTGCTAAAATCCACCAGAAAAACCTTCCGGTGACTGTGCACATGCATTGCAAAGATTATGCAGATTTATACTGTGGATTTTGACCCCGAATTATTCTTTTTATCCTAGCTGAATATCAGGGGTGCATGGGATGAGCAGCTCCTGAGCCATGCCGGGGTCCATCCAACCGTCAGTGATGCCAATACCCCAGGAAGGGACAAACCAGGATCGGGTACAAATCCAAGTCTTTCTCCTGGAAAAGGAAGGGTCATGAGCCTGAAATCACTGATCTACAGGTTAGACCCAGAACAGGGAGGATTATTACAGTTTTTATCAAGCCAAGTGCTAGCCCCCTTCAGAGGACCTACAAGCAGGGAGCTCAGACCTCCCTTCAAGCTCCTCTCCCAGGCCTGGGCGCCGGTGCTTCTCATGGTGCTGGGGTTACCCATCTCACCCCAATTTGGCAGTACCACAGGAGAACCAAGACAGAACAGGGCTGTCCCACTCCCACGACACCACTGGTGGGATGGGACTTAAGATATTTATTCATAGAATCACAGAATGGTTTGGGTTGGCAAAGCCCTTCAAGCTCCCCCAGCCCAACCGCCCCCCTACCCCTGCCATCCCACCCCCAAACCCTGGCCCTCAGCACCGCCTCTGCCCGGCTGTTAAATCCCCCCAGGGCTGGGGACTCGACCCCTTCCCTGGGCAGCCCCTTCCAGGGCTTGAGAACCTTTTCGGTGAAAAAATTTATTAAATCCTGCTGTGCCTCATCTCTCAAAACCTACAGAAGCAGCATAAACCCCCCTGCTCACCTCCATCCTGACCAGGAGGGCAACTCATCTCTGGTAGCATCACGGAGATGTTTGACTGAAGCTACTCACAAACCTAGCGCAGCCCGCTCCTACCGATGAATTTGTGGCTTGCATTCAAAACTGAAGGTGTTTTTTTCCCCATTTCTTTAATAAATTAATGTATAGCACCATCACAGGCAAGAGGACACAGAGAGGTTCAGCCGCAACCGCCAGCACAGCCACCACAGTGGTTGGTCGGTCGCCCCCACCAGCCACCGCGTTGAGCTTTACCCAACACCATATGGAAGTCAGGGGGTAACTAATTCCCCGTTCCTGAACACACGTAAGCTCCATCTCCCCACGCTACGCAGGCAAGATTTTGTGGTGACCTCGAGGACTTGCTGGAAACTTGGAAAGCAGTTCAGCAGCAGCAGGAGGCCGGTCTGAAACCAATCACCCCTTTTAACGCCAGATTTTGAAGATTTCTGCTAAAACTACGCCTCAGCAATGCCATTCAGCTGAAATCACTTGCCTTCATCCTTCCAACTGAGCTCTGAGAAGAGGTCGTTCCTGCTCACCCCACCCTTCTTGCCATGTATTTCTTCAGGAAAGAAAAGCCAAGACATCATCCCACGTCCACTTCCAGCACAGCTCTGCCCACCCTCTACCATCACCCTGAGACACCACCAGCCTTACCCTGTAGCTGTTCACCTCATTACGAAGCTTCTCCATTTGATGTGACCACTTGCCCATTGGCTCCTCAGGAGCACCCAGAGGATGGTGGAGGTCACCAAGTGCTGGGAGAGGCAGAAGCCACCAGATTGTGGGGGGACAGGGCAGCGGGGAAGCACGGGTCCCCACAACCAAGAGCCAAAACCCCCAATCCCATCACTCAGGTCCTTCACCACCAGGGACAAACCACAAGCCAGGTTTCTATCCCTATTTTACTGATGGCTTTGAGGAAGATGAAGCATCTGGACCAACTTTGTAATATTCTCTGAAAATTAAACTATTTTGGATTGCATTTTCAGAGGAGAAAATGTTTTCCACAGACACAAGAAGCAAGAGTGAGATGAGGTGGGCTGGAGATAGCGCAGGAAGGGTTCGCTGTAAGCCTGCCTCTCAACCTTGGAGGGAAGCCCTCTCAGCCTCACAGGGTGCTCAGGTTTTTGGATGCTGGGTCCCCCTTGTTCCAACCAAACAAATGGCTTGAACTGTAGTAGAAGAGAAGGAACAGCAGACCTTTGAAACCAATCCCAAAAAACTGTAGACCACATTCACATTTTAACAGTTTCCCTAAAATTTACGGCCTAGAGACCTGTCCATCTGACCAAAACCATCTCCTTCCCAATGCACCGCTTCCCTGTATTTATTTCTTGAGCCTTTTTTGGCCGCCCCAAGAATTAGGGACTCTCTCACGAGTGATGACTCCAATGAAAAACTTCTCCTCCCCTAAAAAATCTCTCTTGATACTATCCACATTTTTCATGCATGTAATGTCATCCTTTTCTCCTAGGTGCATTCCTCCGTCATCTCCCCAGATCTTTTCATCACTTGCATGTTATATTCTCCTGAAACCAGGATGTCTTTCTTCCCTTTGGTGGCAGTTTTAGCTTAGACCACCCAGTTTCCCACATTTCACCTATTAAAAGCCTGTTCAACCTCTCAGGTCTTCAGACAATACTGCTCCTCTGTACTCTATTCTTTAATATTGTTTTCCTCTGGGTTTAAAAAAAAAAAAAAAGGCAAAGCAAAAACCAAACAAACAGAAAGAAACCACACCAAAAAGGTACCAAGAGCAGACTACGAGACCCTGTGTTTTACAGACTACTCATCTAAAACACCACGTAGTATTTGTCCTTCGATCTCATTCTTCTCGCCCAGCCCCATGCCTCGTGTTTTTTCACATTTAACCAATCCCCTCCTTACCTTTGCTTTTCAAAGGCAGTATCTGGGGAACTAAATGCTGTATGCAAGGAATCGTGAGAAGTGACTTCGAGAGCATCGCTCAGGCTGTCCAGGCTCAGCCTCTTGGTCCAGGGAGGTATGGAGGTATGTCAGTGTCTGCTTGGAATACACCATGGGCTGAATAAAAGATTTGCTCCAAAATCTCCTGAGTGTTTCAGCGTGGCACAGTGCCCACACAGAACAACACCTTCATCAACCAATGCTTCGATAAAAATACCAGACCGGAGCTGACCCGCATGCGAGCTCATACGCTCGGAGCAGAGCTGTGCACGCGCGTGCCCTATTCCTGCTCTCCATGTCCCCTCGGTGGGAAACAGTCCAACTTTTTTCTTCCTTTTCCTTTCTCCTAAAAGCAGCAATTTCACTCTGCAAAGATGCATCACACCTGTAACGTTTCTCTTTTTCAGCAAAACCCATGATGCACGTGCAGATCTCAAGCGGCACGTGGCAGCTCTGAGAACAAGGACAACTTGGGAAAGACTAGTGAAGGAGCAACTCCCAGCCCCAACCTCTCATGGGCTTCCCAATCCACCACC